CACAGCAGGAGATGAAGCTCCCAGGAGGTGAAGACCTTGAGGATCATGGCTATGACCTGGTGATGTTCTTTATTGGAAAAGACATCAGATGAAAGACTTTTTGAAGCCCAGTTGGAAAGGAACATACCAGGTACTTTTAACCAATTCATGCACTGCAAAATTAAAAGGTGAAGACTCGTAGATTCACATTTCTCATTTTAATAATAGGGCTTCCCCACCTGAGTGGGTTTCAGCTCCGATTTTGAACACCAACTTCAACTGACCAAAACAAATACCTCCCACCAGGATGAGAAGACAGATCTGTTTTAGACAGCTGTCCCAAGTGTCCAGACCAGGCCTGTATTCCCAATCTTATATCTCCCCTCATTTAAACCCTTCCAACTGTTACCTACCCCTATACTTTACTTTCTTCCCGTCCAACTCTATAAGATCGATTATAACAATGACAAAACCTTTTAATTGACCACAGAAATGCCATTTAAGGTTTTCCTGACACTGTGTTTGTTTTTTCAATCCACATTTGAACGGGCCTCTGATGGCAATGGCTTTTTACAATGGACTCATTTCTCTGCTACACACAAAAATCAGTCCAATTGTTGGATGTGTAGTCATCTTCCCCTTTCTAGTATGTCTGGGTTACCTTGGTGGATTTCTCTTTTTCAAGGTACGGATTGGAAAGCTTTAAAGCAACTTATTATGATGGAAAGACCTAGTTCCAGTTTTGCACTTCATCTGACATTACTAATTATGATCCTGAAACATGGCCAATAGCCCATACTATAAATGATACAGGGCACAGCTACTCTTTTTCCGTTACTCAGACCATCCAATTGTCCCCATAATTTGAAAATAAACAAAAGAAATCAGATATTACAGTGAGATATGGGAGGTTTGACACACATATGGGGTGGATATCCCCCAAGTCATGTCAGAATACATCATACTTAAAGAAAGTGATTGGTTTGGAACAGACTGGTCTCAAAGACCAGGCACTCATTGAGTGGCTCCTAAAGGAACTCAATGGTTATGAGGAACAAACCTCTGGTCTTGGCTACTGCCCACAAAGCTGTGACACAGCACCCTGGGCTTCGCTTGGAGGTAGGGAAAGATTCATACTGAGCTAACATCTGTTGTCAATCTTCCTCTACTTAAGGCTGGATGGACTCACTCAGTATTCCACTGGTATGACCACCTACTGGCTATATTCGTTGCTTCCTTGGGGCTAGAAGAAGTCACATCACATAGAGGCTCTGACTGAATTTATTCAACAAGCCCTTGATGACAATCAGGCAGGAATAGCCTTATTAAATACTGAAATGTCTTTAGTGAGAATGACTGTCCTTCAAATTAGAATGGCCTTAGATATTCTAACTGCATCCCAAGGTGGCGTATGTTCAATCACTCAAATTAAACGCTGTTTTTATACCTGATGGATCTTCCACTGTGTCATCACTGCTGAAGCACATGCTAAAGTAGGTAAATGCCCTAAGTGATCCTACACCCAGTCTTGATTTCTTTGGTTTGCCTCTTTCAGATATTGGTGCCCTTTTGTGATCCGGATTGCAATTCCTGTTTCTGTTACTCCTTGAAATTTTTGCATTAATCGTGATATCAAACTGCTCACTGTCTCCTTTACCAGTGTTGTAAGACTGGCATGCAGGCTACAGTACTGATTGTTCAGTGACTTGAGGTGGTCGATCAGTTTTGCACCCTGGACGAATTTTCTGTTCTGATAAAGACTATGACTAAAAAATCATTTTTAAAATAATCACTTCAAGTATTGAATTATCATGATTATTACTGTACCTGTTCTATAAGGAATCATGTAAAAGCACATGTACAATATTTGTGTGACACTCTAAAATCATTGAAAAATTACATAATGTATGAAATGCTTCCCCGTTAATATATAGCCCTTGCTAGTCCACTACATACAAATATATCCTCCTAACATGGATGACTGGGCTAATCAGTGAGACCACAAGCCTAGCACAGAGGGACATGGTGTACCCAGGGCAGGCAGCAACCACCCTGGCACCAAGGGACAATATTTTGATCATCAATGCTACCTATCAAAAGATTATCAATCAAAGGGGGGAAAATACTGAGTAAATGGAAAGCAACATGAAAAGCTAATATACTGAGGTATATGAGGAAGCCATTTGGTTTAAAACTAATTCGGCCTGACTTTGATGTTCTGGAAAGGCCTGATGTGGCCTGTCGACCACACATTCTACGTCTGCTGTAAACATTACCGTGACCCAAAGCTGAGAATGATGCCCTTAAAGATATCCCCTCAGGCCGGCCCCGTGGCTTGGTGGTTAAGTGCACATGCTCCACTACTGGCGGCCCGGGTTCTGATCCCGGGTGCACACCGACGCACCGCTTCTCCGGCCATGCTGAGGCCGCGTCCCACATACAGCAGCTAGAAGGACGTGCAACTATGATGCACAACTATCTACTGGGGGGCTTTGGGGGCAAAAAAAATGGAGGAGGTTTGGCAATGGGTGTTAGCTCAGAGCCTGTCTTCCTCGGCAAAAAAAAAAAAAGAGGAGGATTGGCATGGATGTTAGCTCAGGGCTGATCTTCCTCACAAAAAATAAGTAAATAAATAAATAAATAAATAAATAAAGATATCCCCTCATATCAGCATTTCTTCCCAGAAACTAAGGATTCTTTACTGAACTACTGTGCAGCCCTTGTGACCTCTGTACTGACACACAAAGCACATTGTGACATAAAGCACATTGTGACTGTAGTAAAATACATATTCCTGTTATATTTGGTGCGTGTTCCTTGTTCCAAGCCTGTATATAACCACACCGTACACCCTACTTCCTCAGAGTGCTTCCTTACTTGGTGAAGGTCGTTCTCCAAGGCTATGTGGTCCTTTGATTGGCTCATATAATAAACTCACCCTAGTTTTAATTTATACATTTATTATGGATTGTGTCAACATTTCGCTGACCACAAACTACATAGATGAGTATGATTCTCAGGCAACCGTAGCGATGATCACACCTTGCAGAGCTGGTGACCAGTTGCCCGCGTCATGAATCAAGGGTGGCCTGCCATAAGTGGGAGAGATGGCAGAGCTCGTGGGCAGAGTGGAGAGGTAGCTGGGCTGGAGGAGCCAGGAGGGTGTGGCGGATTTATATGAATTCCTCCTGGGAGGGGCCAGAGGGCACTCTCTCCACCAAGGATGTGGCCGATGGCATTTTGAAAAGTGGCCACAGCTACATTTCCAGGACCACGAGCTCAACCATCACCTGGCCCTGTCCCATAAAGCGGTAGGGTTTGCTTCCCTCCCTGGAACCCAGGGCCTGTGGGACTGCCTCCATGGGGACAGGGTCACAGCACAAGCCCCTGAGCACCAACAAATTGGAAGGAGCCATGCCTGGCCTCCCCTGGTCACCTTCCTGTCAACCTGGCAATTTGGGGGTGGGGTCCATGGTGTCCCCCAGGGATCCCTGATCCAAGGCCTAACATGGAAGATACGAGACACGCTGGCGTGAACAGGGAGCCTGGGGGGGCCATGCCCACTCCAAGACACCAGAAACTGAAGGTCTGTGTACCCCCCAAACAGGATGGCTGGTCTTGGCCCAAACACGGGAGCCAAGGGACTGCATGCTGTCTCTCAGACAGAGGAGCACTTTCGGGCCCCAACGACCACCATGAACTCTGTCCTTGCACCTCAGACTTCGGTCTGTCACCCGGAGGACAGCTGTGGCGCAGAGAATAGCTTCCCTCTGACCACAGGTGTTACACCACCCTTCTGTCAGAGATCTGGCCCCAGATGGAGCCAGAGAGGGAAGGAGGGAAGAGGCAGGGACCCAGAGGAAGACAGCTTTCTACTCGGGAGGCCGTCCTGGTGGGTGGATAGGACGAGGCCCTGGGCTGGGCTGGAGGCTGTGAGCAGGACAGCCTGTGTCCACACTGCCCGCTGACCCAGGCAGGGAGAGGTGCCCACTGGAGCTGGGGGGAACCAGACAGCTCAGGTGTGAGGCCCGGGTACCCCGAACTTTGGTGGTTCAAGCTGGCATAATCCGCGTGGGAGGCAGAGAGTGAAGTGCAGCACGTGAGGCCAGGCTTCCGGCACTCTCCCCTGGGTCCCGGGCACCCACCTCACCCCACCCCCATCACCCACGTGAGGCAGCTTCTGCCACCTATGAACTATCCCCCAGGCCCTCTGAGACACAAACCACCAGAAAAAAGGGAACTTCAGGAAGCAAGTGGTGCCCTCCGGTTTCAGTCCTGTTCTTAGTCTTTGCAAGGTCGTCGAGAGGGCATTCACACCTCCGAGGACCCGGCTATGAACTCCAAGGAGCAGGGCAGTGGGCACAGAGCGCCAGGCCGTGAGGAGCCACATGTGCCTGGGTCCAGAGCACAGAGGGGGCTGGGGTTCTTCAGAGACCCAGGCTGGGCTGTGGGGCAGCCGACTTGATGTCCCGCACCCTCGGTGAGTGGGGTCCCCATGGAGGAGGGCGAGGGAGTGGAGTGAAGACAGTGGAACCAGCCACAGGAGCTGAGGGGAGACCAGGACCTCAGGGATGTCACAGAGGGGCTCGAGCAGCTGAGCCAGCACAGGGGAAGGCAGGCTGCCCGCAGGTGACAGCACTGACCCAGACCCAGCACCAGGGAGCCATGGACAGGGGCATGCCCATGCCAACAGAGCTGGACACATTGGAGGCTGATGGACATTGACAGGGTGGTAGTCCCCTGGGTTTTCGAGGAACATGGTGGGTTGGGAGGCTAGAAGCCTGAAGGCTGCCAGTGGCCAGCTCTGCTGAGGGCAGGGCTGGGCAGGAGCTGAGCTGCTGCAGGACAGATGCCAGGATGAACAGATGGGTTTGAGCACAGGACACAGGGTGGGGCCTGGCTCAGCACAGGTGAGGAATAGGACCCCCATGTGGCCTAAGGATCCTGTCCAGGCCAATGGAGACAGCTCAAGCCCCAGAGCAGGGTCAGAGGAGGTGGCCGTGGGGTCCTGGGCTACGGCCATGGCTGAGGGCAGCAGGTAAGCTGGGAGCAGAGCAAGGGGGCAGCGTGGGCTCCCGTGTGCTCAGAACTCAGCACAAGGCTGAACAGGAGCTCAGTGGGCTACGGGAGGGGTGTCGGGAGCCGGGCAGTGAGGGGCAGGGGCAGGGGCTGGGGCTCCAGGGGCTGCGAGCTGGTGGGCACAGGACAGCTGACCCAGCAACTAGAGGGACAAAGGTCCAGAGGGGGCTTCCAGATGGGGATTCCGAGATCGCTGAGGGGCGAGGAGAGGGTGAGGTCTGGCTGGGGGCAGGAGCTCCTCTGGGAGGGGACCAGGACAGGGGATCTGCCAAGGGAGAGCTGGCCAGAGAGAGGGTAGGCACCTGGTGGGTCCAAGAGGCAAAGACCAGCACTGGGAAACAAATGAGTCCAGGAGTGAGGGCGAACCTGGGCTGAGGGTTCCTGGACAGGCAGGAGGGGCAGAGGCGGCCCTGGGGAGACCCAGCAGTCCTGGGCTGAGCTGAGGAACCTGTGGGGGAGGGGATTGTAGGGCAGGAGAGGTAGGGAGCTGCTGTGGACTAGGAGCTCCAGGGATGAGGGGCAGAGCAGCTAGAGGTAAGCATGGCAGTTGGGAGGCCCCAAGGGAGAGAACCTGCCCCAGGAGCTCCAGGGGAGCAGGCAGAGCTTAGCAGGTGAGCATGGGCAGGCAGGAGGTCAGGAGGGGCAGGGGGCTTCCTAGGAGCTCTGGGGGAGCAGGCAGAGCTTGGCAGGTGAGCAAGAGCAGGTGGGAAGGTAGGACAGGGCAGAGGACGGCCCAGGAGCACAGTGAACGAGGAGCAGATGGCCTGAGCTAAACAGCCCTGGACAGGCGGAGCTGAGCAGGTACAGGGAGCAGGGACGGCTGGGGCTCAGGGGGCTCAGGTGTCCTCTCTGTGCAGGAGGAGAGTGTGAGCTGGTGGAGGGACCAGGTGATGGTGAGTTAGGATGGAGGGGGGACCCTGGGATGGAAGGTCTCTGGGGCTTAAGGGGCACAAGGGCACCCCTGAGACGACCAGATGGAATGCAGTTCTTGCGTCCTGGGAAACTAACCCTGTTCCAGGGTCTTGTGGGGACATGGGACAGGAGAGGCAGACATGCGGAAGCAGTGTGGGGTGGCACAAGGCAGTGGACCCGGAGGACAGAAGGGTGAGGGGCCCATTTAGGACCTGACCCTTGGCTGCCAGCCTGAGGAGAGTCCAGGCAGGGCCCTGAGGCTGAGCACACAGGAGTCAGGGTCACAGGGGACAGGCCTGTCCAGGGTGTGTGGGCAGAGGGTACAGCCCAGCCCGCACTGGGGCCTGGGGATGCTGGCACCGAGGGGAGAGGAGGGCCGAGGGAAGTTCACGGCTCCCACCCGTGCCGAGGGGCAGGCTGGCTCGGGAAGGACCATGGCTGGAGGAGGGCTCTGGAATGAGGAAGGAGCTGGACAGGCCCAAGAGCAGGGATGGTGCAAGGGAGGGGTGCTGGGAGGGAGGGACCGGAGGTGAGCTCAGGAAGCCATGCCAGGAGGACCTGAGGAGGGACGGTGGGCCCACAGGCAGATTTAGGATCCTGGGCTGGGGGGCCACAGGGACAGAGGGAAGAGGGAGAAGGAGACTCCCAGGGACGGGGTCCAGGGCAGGGGAGGGGTCCCAGGCAGGAAGAGGGTCCAGGACCGTGAGGTGGTCCAGGGCAGTCACGGGGTCCAGGGCGGTGATGGGATCTGGGGCAAGAATGGGGTTCAGGGGCAGAGATAGGGTTCAGAGCAGCGTGGGATTCAGGGCAGGGATGGGGTTCAGGGCAGGGATGAGGTCCAGGCAGGAGACGAGGCCCTGGGCCGGGATGGGGTCCAAGGCAGGCACCAGGTTCAGGGCAGTGATGGGGTCCAGGGCAGGGACGGAGTTCAGGGCAGGGATGGGGGTCAGGGCAGGGTCGGGGAGGAGGGCCAGTGGCATCTTGGTGGCAGAGCTGACTCAGAAGACACGAGGCCTGGGGAACAGAGACGGGTCATGATGAATGCTCTGTGCTGAGGGGCCAGGAGCAGACACGGGCAGTGTGAGGCAGGGCCCACCGCACCCGAAGAGGTGCCCACTGGCCCCAGGGCAGGGCGAAGCTAGAGGAACAGGACAGAGGGTTGGGGGACCTTCAGAAGCCAGCCTGGAGCAGAAGCTTCCGGTCAGAGCTCAGACTGAGGGCTTGGTCAGGGGGGCCACCTGCAGGAGGCCTCAGCAGGGATGAGGGGACAAAGGACCTAGCCTGGGGGCTCTAATCCAGGTGGTCATCCAGTGCTGACCCGGTGACCGGTCCAGAGCCCGTGGCTGCAGAGGCACCAGCCCTGGAGGAGAGGGACCCATACGAGGCATCTAGTCTGTAGACTCTCTGGAAGCACGTGGGTGCTGGGCTCAGCAGTGCCCCAGGCCTGGGCATCTGACACTCTGCCAGGATCCTCGCAGGGTGAGGCCCTGGTGGTCACACAGCCTCCTCTCTTGCAGCTTCCACCACAGCCCCATCAGTCTTCCCGCTGGCCCCCGGCTGTCAGACCACATCTGGCCCCACAGTGGCCCTGGCCTGCTTGGTCTCTGGCTACTTCCCAGAACCAGTGACCGTGTCCTGGAACTCAGGCGCCCTGACCAGCGGCGTGCACACCTTCCCGTCCGTCCTGCGGTCCTCGGGGCTCTACTCCCTCAGCAGCACGGTGACCGTGCCTGCCAGCAGCTGGCCGAGCCAGACCTTCATCTGCAACGTAGCCCACCCAGCCAGCAGCACCAAGGTGGACAAGAGAGTCGGTGAGAGGAGGGGCTGCACGGGGGGCATTCCCCGAGAGACAGGCCTGGGGTCAGCCCTCCTGCCTGGACTCAGGGCGGCAGGGGAGGCCTCCCAAGCTCAGGGAGGGGTCCTCTGGTCATTTCTGCCATGCCCAGGGTAGGGCAGGCTGGACATCCCTAACACAGGCCCTGGGACCTCAGAGGTGGGCGCTGGACTCAGATTCGCCAAACTTGGCCCTGACCTAAGCCCACCCCAAGGCGGTCTCTCCAGCCCCAGTAACCCCCAGTCTGCTCTCTCTGCAGAGCCCCCACCTCCCAAGCCAGATGATCAGCCCAGACCACCCAAGCCAGAAGATCAGCCCACTCCACCCAAGCAGGATGATCAGCCAGACTGCCCCAAGTGTCCCAAATGCACAGGTGAGTCAGCCGCACTTCACCCTCCACCCCCAGGAGGAGGCCCAAGCACAGATGTGGCCCATGGGGGGACAAGTCCCCAAAAGGAGGCCCACCCAGGTGCTGACCACTCCCCCATGTCTCCCCCACCAGCTCCTGAACTCCCGGGTGGGCCTTCGGTCTTCATCTTCCCCCCGAAAATCCAGGACACCCTCACGATCTCCCGGACGCCCGAGGTCACCTGCGTGGTGGTAGACGTGATCCAGGACAACCCCGATGTCCAGTTCACCTGGTACGTGGATGGCACAGAGGTGAGCAGGGCCACGACGAAGCCGAAGGAGGAGCAGTTCAACAGCACCTACCGCGTGGTCAGCGTCCTCCCCATCCAGCACCAGGACTGGCTGAAGGGAAAGGAGTTCAAGTGTAAGGTCAACAACAGAGCCCTCCCAGCCCCCATTGAGAGGACCATCTCCAAGGCCAAAGGTGGGAGCAGGACAGACGGGTGTGGGGACAGTCCTGGGGGGACCCCGAGGGAGTGACCAGCTGTACTGACCCCATCCCCACAGGGCAGGCCCGGAAGCCGCAGGTGTACGTGCTGCCCCCACACCGGGAGGAGCTGGCTGAGAGCACGGTCAGCGTCACCTGCCTGGTCAAAGACTTCTACCCACCTGACATCGACGTCGAGTGGCAGAGCAACAAGCAGACAGAGCCGGAGGACAAGTACAGCACCACCCCACCCCAGCAGGAGGGCGAGGGGTCCTACTTCCTGTACAGCAAGCTCTCGGTGGAGACAAACAGGTGGAAGCAGGGAGACGTGTTCACGTGTGGGGTGATGCACGAGGCTCTCCACAAACAGTACACGCAGAAATCCACCTCCCAGTCTCCGGGTAAATGAGCACTCCTGAGAGCCCTCCCTCCCTCCTTGAGGGCTCTGGGTCCCACAAAGACAACTGAGCCCCCACCTCTGTATACATACCTCCAGGGCCCCCTGGCATGAAATAAAGCACCCAGCATGGCCCTGGGACCCTGCAACAACGTCATGGTTCTTTCTGAGGCAGAGCTCAAGTGCTCCCCCAGGCCTGCTGGGGACAGGGTAGCCAAGCTCTGAGACGACAGTTGTCACCATTAGGGGAGAGACATGGTCCTGCTCAGGCAGGACCAGAGCTCTGGGCTGTGCAGGCCGCCCAGGACGGCTGGAGGGGCTGCCCGAGGAGGGGAGGGGGCTTCACCAGAGGCAGCAGCTCTTCTGGGCCCCCCCTCCAGCAGCAGCTGCTCAGGGCTGGAGTGTGGCCAGGGAACAGGAGAAGCCCCTCTGGAGCCCCTGAGGGAAATGTGTGCACAGGCTGTCCCTCCTCTGTAGGATCCCAAGCTGTGGGACAGTGGCCTGTCCTTGTCTCCCGGGGTTCCCTGTCCACTGGGTCACTTGAGAGGTCTGCTTGGTGGCTCTGGCCCACAGGGGATGCTTGCCTCACCTGGGATGTGGGGACAGACCCTGCTTTGCCCTCGAGCACTCCGAGATCAGGCCACCACCTTCCATCCGGCAAGATGGTTCTGTCCAGCCTAGTCCTGTGTGGGGCCAGACCTGTCCACTAATGGGGACACTCACCCCTGGTCCTCAAAGGGGCAGAGGCAGGTGGACATGACAGCCTTGGTAAGGAACGGTCCCTGACGTCCACATGGACATTGAGCCCTGACCCACCGAAAACAAGCCCTTCTCACCAAGCAGTGCCAGCCCCCACACACCACCTCCACACACATACACATGTGAGCACACACACACACAGTCCTTACACACTGGGGCTCACACAAGGGCAGCCTGCGCATGACCAGCAGAGCATGGAGCACAGTCTCCTGACCCCTCACCATGGACACCAGAGGGTCCCCACAGCCTCCAACACCCCGGGGGCTGCTCAGGCCTCATCCTGACACTGACCACACTAACCAGCTCTGACAACTGGCCCTCCTCTTCCCCAGGGCATATACACCCCCACCCTGACACACAGAAATCCCCCCACACCCAGCTTGTGCCCAGCACTCGACCACTCATGCTCTGGGGACACACCCCAACCCCATCTCTGCCCTTCCCTGGGGCAGGGGCCCTGCTGTGGACAGGCTCTGCTGACCCTCTGCCCTCTGGGCCTGGTCCCCGGGATAGACGAGGTGGGGCCTGAGCCTCTGTCCTGCAGGGGTTGGGACGCCTTCTCCCCAGAGGGCCCCAGCACAGGGCAGAGCAGAGGAGAGGGCTGGTCCCCCACTGGCCAGGCTGAGATCTGGGTCAAGGGTGACCGGACGAGTCCTGGGGTCCCAGCTGGAGGAACGGGCGAGCTGAGGCCAGTGCCCAGAGACTGACCTCAGGGCCCTGCTCGCCCAGCCCAGCTGGGGGCTCCCGCCTGCCCCACACACCCTGCCACAGAGTGAACCACCCCCTGAGGCCCCGCCAACCCTGTGCCAGGCCCCCTCGGGCAGGCCCAGCACTGACCACCCCTCCCTGTCCAGAGGTGGTCCTGGACGAGAGCTGTGTCGAGACCCAGGACGGGGAGCTGGACGGGCTGTGGACCACCATCTCCATCTTCATCATGCTCTTCCTGCTCAGCGTGTGCTACAGCGCCACCGTCACCCTCTTCAAGGTGGGCCAGGCCCTCCCCACGTTGTCCCCTCGCTGTCACCATGCTGCCCCCACACTGTCCCGTTATTATCCCCACACTGTCCCTTCACCATCCCCAGCATGTCCCCATGTTGTCCCCACCTGGACTCCCCACTTTCAGGCGGCCCCGGGTACAGGGAGGGCAGGCCCCGGCGGGAGGCTGGTGTTGGGGTCCAGGCCATGCTCACCCCCTCGCCCGCCCACTGCAGGTGAAGTGGATCTTCTCCTCGGTGGTGGAACTGAAGGAGACGATGGTCCCCAACTATGGGAACATGATCGGGCAGGGGGCCTAGGGCCACTCCTCCTGGGTGGGAGTCCCAGGCTGGTCCAGACCCCAGACAGGATCCGGGTCCTTCGGTTCATTATGCTCAGCCTGCCACCCAGACCTGCTCCACTGCCTTCTGTCCTCGCCACACGCTGACCTCACAGCCCCTTTGGCCTGCACCCCACTCTCTGGCCTCACAGTCACCACAGGCTGTATCCTACCCCCTCACCTCATTTGGAAAACCGAGTGGACAGCAGATGTAACCCTGAGCTGACCTGACGGATGCTCACCAGCCCCTCCACAGCAGTCACCAAGAAACTCCAGGGGCGGTATAGTTGCTGAGTCATCAGGGCCGAGCATCCCTCACCAGGACTGCCCCGAGGTCCACTTGTATGGTCACCCTGGAGGAGGTTGAGGGCCGATATGCCCGTGTCCGTCTGGACAGGGACAGGCCTTCGTGCAAACTGAGTCCACGCCAGGGTCCAAGACACACGGTCTCCAAGAGGAGACACGTGGTTTCAGATCCTTGAGTAGGAACGTCTGTCGCCAAGGCCAGGAGGCCCCGGGACCATCGTCCACCAATAGGGAAGCTTCTGGATGTGTCTCTAACTGTCACTTAGAGCACCTCCACCCAAGGAGACCACTTGGAGGAGGGCCTGGGCCCATGGCCGTTGAAGAAGCCCTGGCGGGTGGTGGCGGCAGGACCCGGGGACGGGGGGGTGGACCCAGCTGGGCGGGCCTCCTGGAGAGGGGAGGGAGTCACGTCCACAGGAGCTCCGGATGCTCCACGGCCCAGGAGTGAGAGAGGAGACCCCTGAATAGAGAGCCTGTGGCCTTGGGGAGCTGACCGAGTGGACCAAGCTCCAACCTCCAGCCTCACAGCCCCCGGAACCGATTGTCCCCTCATGTCTCTGAGCGAACGGCAAGTCAGCATCTCTAGATGGGAAGGACACGGATGCTCACAGGAAGGAGAGACGGACCCCCGCACTGACTACGGTGGGGCAATGCGCAGAGAGATTGCTCAAAGAAAGGACACAGTTGTAGCTTGGATATCTTTTTCCTTCTTTTTAAATTTCTGAGGCCCATTGATTTTCTTTATTGTTACTTTTTTAAAACGACAATAAAACATCCTTAAAAATTCCACACCTCACTACGTTCACGTGCCTCATAAAATCCACAGCCTGGCAGAGTCGTGCATCAGGGGCTCCCTCCGTACCCTCACAGCTCCAGAACCTTAATGCCCTCCTTCCTCTCCTGCCCTTGGCCCTCCTCCAGCCCCTGGGGTTCCATGGGTGAGGAAGGTGGCCCAGAAATGGGGCTATGAGGAGGGGCGAGGTGGCTGATGGGGCCTGGTGGGGAGCAGGGCCAGCCTAGGGGCTGGGGGCAGGAGGAGCTTCCAGCACTGGCCGCTGCCAGAAGCAAGATCTCCGTGTTGGGTGTGTATGAGTCAGCACGGCTGCTGCAACAACCAGCCTGGGCGACCTGAACAACAGACATTTGTTCTCTCACACGTCTGGAGGCTGCATGTCCCGGAACAGGTGTCAGCAGAGTGGGGTTCTGCTGAGGCCTCTCTCCTGGCTGTGTAGACGGCCTCTTCTCCCCATGTCCTCGCCTCAGCCTCCCTCTGCGAGTGTCTGTGTCCTGATCCCTCTTCTTATAGGACACCAGTCACTCTGGATTAGGGCCCAGACTACTGACCCCATTTTAACTTATTACCACTTGAAAGACCCTCTCTCCAGATATAGCCACATTCTGAAGTCCCAGGGGTCAGGGCTTCAATCTTGAATTGGCGGGACAAAATTCAGCCCAACACAAGGAGTTGGGTCCAGGAACACACACACACAGTACCCTGTCCCCACGCACTCAACTATCAATTACCTTGGTCCTTCAGGCTGCCTCCTACCCTGAGCCTTTGCCCATGCTGCTCCCTTCTCCTAGTGTTCCTTCCCTCTACACACTCGGCAAATCCTACACAGCCTTCTCTTAGCTTAGAGTTCCACGCCTCCTCTGTCAGTCTTCCCTAATGCACCCAGCAGAATGCACCCACCCTACCCTGGGCCTGTGTCTGTGCCAGTCTCTCCCACTCAGTATCCATCTGCGTCCCTCTCCCCAGGAGCCACGCAGTCCTGCAGAGCAGGCTGGTCCCTCCCCCAGGCGTCCAGCTGTATTTGTCAGACTCCTGCTCTCCAGACCTGGGGACCCAGCCCAGGACCTGGCCTAAACGTGGGCTGGGGACTGGGTCGATGGTGGAGGTTGGTCACTGCATCAGCGTGGCTTGGGGTTGGTGACCCCACCTTGCCTTCCCTGGGCTCTTTTCACAGATGAGGGGCCAATGGCATCAGGCGACACAAAAACAGACCTAGGAGGGCACAGAGCACAGGCCCAGTAGACACGCCAGCTCTCAGGCAGCTGGCTCTCGGCTCCTTGAGCGCATCATCATCCAGGAGTCAGTCGGTTACTGTCCCCCTGCTCGCTGCCCCACTCCTCCATGGCAAGCTGCCCCGTGGGACAAGGATGCTCACCGCCCCATTTACCTCCGCCTCAGGCAAAGGCTTGCACAGGAGCACTCATCACGTGGACCACCATTGCTCTGTTCCTCCGCCCTGAGAGTGGCACGTTTCAGAAAACACGTGCTCCTTCGGCCTTGAACCCAGAGCAGAGAAGGCCCAGCCAAACTGCGGCAGACACGGCAGTGAGAGAGAAATAAGCACACGAGGCTGCAGCCCCCTCATCTGGGGTGTTTGTTATCCTCCAGGAATTGAGAGACCAGGGCAAAGGCAGACATGAAGCACATGATCCCGCAAACAGTGACGCAAGGACACTGTGATAAGTGCTGTGAGGGGAAAGTGTGTGGCTGTGAGGACACCCTCGCAGAGCTGGCTGATACAGTCATCATCAAATGTTCCTACTTGGGGTAAACTCGAGAACAAGCATCCAATGTAACAACCACACTGGATGTGCACATTGTGTTTTGACTTGACAGAGTTTTCAGAGACTGTTAAGGTTCTCAAGAGAAACAGAACTGTTAGGAGACGGATGAAGATAGACAGGTGATGCTGATGAAGATAGCAAACAGGCAAAGAAACGCAGACATAGCCATAGCTACAGCTGCACCTAGATACACATACAGACACAGACGTAGACGATAGGGAGGGTTCTTTCAAGGAACTGGTTCACGTGCTTCTAGGGGGGTTGGCTGGCAAGTCGGAAATCTGTAGGGCAGGCCAGCAAGCGAAACCTCAGGCAGGAGCTGAGGCTGCAGTCTTGAGGCAGAATTTCTTCTCCTCCAGGAAACTTTGGTTTTTGTTCTCAAGGGCTTCAACTGATTGGATGAGGCCCACCCACATTAAGGAGGGTAATCTCCTTTACTTACAGCCCACTAGCATAGATGCTAACCACATCTACAAAATACCTTCACAACAACACCTAGACTAGCATCTGATGGACCAGCCCAGACGGGGGGCAAGTGAGATTGAGCATCACAGGGACCTCCTCTCACTTTGTGTTTACAACACCCTGAGAGGCTGAGGTCACTGTCGCAATCTTACCATTGAAGAAACCGAAGGCTTAGAGAGGCTATGGGAATCTACGTGGGAGGGGGCGGTAGTGTCAGGGCTTGTACCCATGTCTTCTGAGCCCAAAGCTCATGTTCTTCCCACTGCCTCTGAGAGACCCCAGGACACGTTCCTGATCTGATTCCTGCCCTCAGGGACAAGCCACCTGAGGCGGTCCCTCAATAAGGGAGATTTTGGAGACAACAGAACCCTGAAGGATCTGTGAAGATGACGTGCACTCCTCTACTGGACACCTATTGACCACAGGGCCCTCGGCCATCGTCGCCACACATGGAGCTCCCACGCTGAGGAGACAGATGTGATCTCTTACCTCCAGGAATTGAGAGACCAGGGCAAAGGCAGACATGAAGCACATGATCCCACAAACAGTGACGCAAGGACACTGTGATAAGCGCTGTGAGGGGAAAGTGTGTGGCTATGAGGACACACAAGAGAAGTGGCTGAGGGAAGCTGTCCCGGGGAGTGCCCTGACCCAGAGCCCTGGAGGAAGGGGGTGGCCAGCCTCTCTCAGGGCTGCTCCTCAACACCTGGTCTCCCGCCCCACCACGGTCACAGAACTTCCTTGACCCAGGATAAGTGGGGCCATGGGGAGAAGACATTTGCGACATGTTAGAGGACAGGTTTTAACATGGTGATCACGACTCTCATATAGACAGATAATGAACACATTACAAAGATTTCATTTAACTCATCAATTAAGGGGTTATAACCAGTTCAAAATAGAGTTCAAAGTCCCTCACTGATATAGTGGAATCCAGAAAGCTAAAAAGAGTTTATCAACAGATGCATTTTCGAATGCACCTGGCTTTCTCCACAGAAGGCAGGGAAGAATCAACCATCCTTCCGGAGGACAGAATTCCTATGGCCTTCGATTCTCTACAACTTACAGAGTTGTAAGAGAGCTCAAAGGCAATGGAGAGTGCGGAGCCCTCGCTGAGTCTGGTAACCTAGAGGTGGGGTGCAAGACAGTGCCATGCTTCCCACTGAAGACTGAAGAAGTCGTCTTTGGTCCAATAGATGTCTCACAAAAGATATTCAAATAGCCTTAAACATAGTAAAAGGATGCTGAATCACACTAGTTACAAGGGAAATGAAAATGAAAAACCACATGAGAGAAAGCAGTTCTGATTTTTATGGGGGGGAGTAGCTTGTACCAGATGAAACCCTGCAGACAGCATCATAAGGTCTGGAAAAACTGCTCAAAACAGCAATAGTTTGAAGGCACTGGAGAATGGCCAGAGCAAGCAGACACTGGAGAAGATCAACCCTCAAAAGGTCTGTCTGCGGGTGCCTCCCAGGCCATGCCACAGGTGCAAGGGGAACACAGCAGACATGGCACCATCCCAGCCAGAGGGCTCAGGTCATGGGATTCAGGGCTGCATTTCAAGAGCAGCTGGAAATGGAGGGGAGATGTCCATAAGAGGAGGGACATCGGAGAGGAACCCCACAATGT